AATCGATATCACTGATAGATGGAGAATTATATAAAATAATAATCAATATATCGTACCGATCAAAGTAAAGTTTAATCTCCTATGTTTGTTGTTCGATTATAACCAAGAGTACACAGTAACCTATAAAGTAACCTCTGATGGAAGCTTCTGAAGCAATTAGATCTACTTTGAAAGCCTTCGAGCAGTGAAAAGTTCAGTCCTTTGTGAAGGAATATTCTTCAAGTGGTTTCTTTAATGTTTCAAACTTGAAAGATGATGCCTGTACAGTGTACCTGTAATATCTCAGAAACGGTAACTGCATAAAGGCTGCTGTTAAAGCGACTGTTTGATTGAACTGCTACTCAACGATGAAGAGATCTTATCGATGAAATCGTGACCCGTTATCAGTGTATCACGATGGTGGTCACTCGAAAACAATCGAGTGACACGAGTCGATGACCACATGTCCATCGAAAATTTGGGTAATCGATTTCCCCTTATCTAGTTTACGCTGTCTGTCTTCTCTATGTTCAAAGGTATCTATATTGAATCTTCAGTGGTTCCATAAATGTATCTTTTCAGTAATTATACAAAAATTTATATTAAATTATCGATGGAAATATTTGAAATTTTTAGAACGACCTAAAAAATCATCTTTTTTTGTCATTTTAAGGTTACGTATTCATAATTTTTAAGAAGATAAAAAAAAAGTTATGAATTTTTAACATGTTGACCTACATAAAAAGTTTTGCATTTTATGCTGTCATTGTCAAGAAATAATGCGTAAAAAAAAAGAGATAGGAATTAATTTCTCAAGCATTAATATAGTATAAAACATTTCATAGTTCAGCGTATTGAATAACAGTCATAGCAGTTTCGCCGATTCATTGTATGAAAGGACAAAGCACAGACGAGTGAGCAACGAAGTTGCACGCGATCCCATTTTCGAAAATCGTCAGGTCGACGTGGCGCAAAACCAGCAAAACGTTTTACTTGGCTCCCGGACTCTCGACTTTCATTGCGAACAAAAGAATTCATTTTTCAACGTGTACAATACCGCCGCTTATTATACACTTTGGTATTGTTCGAAATTCTTTTTTTCCCTATTTTTTTTCCTATTTATTTTTATTTTTTTCCCCCCCATTCATAACTCGATCGTTTCGGCTGAAAATGGAAGCTGTTGACTTGATTTAGATCGTTAAACGTTCCCACTATTTCGCGCCAATTTATTATATTACACGAAGCGATTAAACGAACGCGAGATAATGAAATAAAATATGCTGAATATTCTAATTAATGCCGGAGAACACGTACAATACACGATATATGCACGAGTTTTCTATGATGAACGTTCAAATCACTTTCGTAGATCATTAAATTAAAATGATTAAACTTCAGGAATTTAACCAGGTAATTTCCTTGTTAAACTGCGTAAGAGCGTGTTTTAATAAATTTTTAAATTTAAATTTTAATAAGCAATTTCAACAATGAGATCGTTAGAAGAAATCGGTCAACAATGTATCGTTTGAACGAACGCGTTATTATAATTATTTCATCATAACGATACAACTTAACGACCATTAAGCTACACTACTTGCAGTTTTCATAGCAAAATGTGAATCTACCGCAAAACATTCATTGAATTAGACATTTTAATTTTTACAAATCTTTTTCTCCTGAATATAAATAAATTGCATAGACTGACACATTTCTGGATAAAGAGAGGATACATCAATTTTTGAAAAAAAAATTTCATTACTCTTTAGTTTTCACTTAGCATATTAAAAATGATGTAGCACATAGGTAGAAACAAGGGGTAAGAGCATGCATCACGTTATTGCTAGAACTACGAGTTATTACGAATTACAAAAGAGCAATGGTGATCGAGATCTGTTGTTCAGACATAATGAATGAAAAAATTTCATTTTACACGGACAAACAAGCGAGCGTTCGCAGGCATCATGGTTCGAACCTAATTGTACACGGTCGGAGATGTGTCACGCGTGCATTTACATGTGTATATACATACTATATATATATAGTATATGAATACGAAAGAATGCAAAGGCGGCATGTCTATTGATAACGCGACCGACCGCGCATCAGGAAATAGTAATTATGCGAGGGAATTATCTACGGCGCGTATTTTCATCGTCGAGAAAACAATGTGACGTCGTTTGACATTCAAACTCTTCTAAATTGGCCGAATCGATCAACACTTTTCTCCGTTTTCTCAATTTTACGAAGAACTGATGCATGTGACTTCCGAATGATTCACTTGGCTATCATTTGTACTTTCATGTCCTATTTACGGCATATTGTACGCGTAATTGTAACTGTCATATTGTCGATTTACACATATTTAACTGGATGTCATTTACGTTTTCTAAGCAAACAGCGAAGAAGCTTCATAATATCGTTGCACGTGCAATATAAAATACATTTGTTGCAAACTTATCGCGATAAAATTGATAATATATTAAACACACTTGTACGTTTCTATACTTTTAGCGAGAATAGTCACGAAATATTGACAAGAACGTCGTTTCAGATTCTAGAAAAAATGTCCAGTGAAGCGTAAGCTAATGTTAAGTTACGAGTGCTGTCGGGTATTTAGCGGCAAGAAGCATTCCAGGGGAATAGTAGTAGTAGTAGTAGAAGAAGAAAAAGGAAGAGAAGAAGAAGAAGGGACCGGATAAAGAAGAAGGGAGTAACATAGTCTGATGGCAAAACGAGGCATTGGCAACATTACACGGTGCAGCATACGTTTCTCCTTTAGCGTTAGTTATGCTGCATGTGAAGTAATGAAGTTTCCATGCGTATACACGCGGGTGGTGAGGGACGAGCACAAGGTAAACATAAAAACGCCGAAGTGGAACGGTAAGTAAATCCAACGAACAGCGCGAAAGGAAAGGCTTCCCTCTTGGGAAACAACTTCGAGGCGGGAGTAAAAAAAAAACGCGTTTCAACGTGCCTTTCGAGCCACGAGCTGCTGCATCGTTGTTAGAAAGTAGACGAGGCGCCGTTTACTATAAGAAGTCCCTGTGTTTTCCTCTTCCTAAATTGATCGTTCGAATCGGAATCCAATCGATCGATAATCCTAAAACGGTGTGAGATTTGACGATCTCGGGTAATTTTAACCCTTCGCACTCGGAATGCCAGCACCGCTGCGGCAACTCGGAAATTGTTTTAAACAGTATCACACTATAAAATGTGAAATTTTATGAACCTCTCGATAAAATTATGAAATTATGATGAATTTTTATGTTCTATTTTTTCAACAAAAAGTTATCCTAAATTTTTCATAAATTATATTGATGGAAGGAAATGTGAAAATAACATCCCCCCCCCCCCCAGTGCGAGGGTATGTGTTAAATTTGTAGGAATGTCTGTAGGAATGTAAATAAAATATTAAATTTTTGTTTCTAATTTCAATTTTAGTTTAATATTGAACTCCTGTATCCCGATTGAATGAATCGATTAATCGAAATCTTATTTCTATTTATAAATAAAACTAAATGTCAATGTATTACATTGAAACAAAGCAAAAATTCTAATGATCTTTTTGATATAGAAGGAAAAAATTCATTACAATGACAGAAATCTGTTAAATCATGATGCTCGGTATATCAGTTACTTCAGCCAATATTAAATAAAAAAAGATACAATGATAATGATAACCTATCCACAAAGTGTTATTTTACAAATTCAATAAAATGCAATGAAAATATAATACGGATGATAAATACATTTTTTACGTGAAATTAAATTAAATTACATTAAAAAATTTAATTCTACCACGGATCAGATAATAATGCTCACGATGCCATGCGAGATATGGTATTCGAGGATTAATACCTGATGCAAGCATTAATTCACAATTTATACATCTCAAACGTGAGGTTCCATTAACGGTTTGCTTCGTTTAGCTCTACTTTTCTTTACTCGGGCCCTTTGTACACGCATTATTACATCTTGACTTTCTCATTGACAATCGTGTTTGTACGACGTACATACACGTGCTTCGTTGGAAACCGCGGACAGACGGTGCTTTGCTCGCCAACCGTGCACGAAAAGAAAGATAACCGGAAAGACGAGGAGAAAAACAATTCAGAAAAATACTAACGAAACATTGAAACGAAACCGAGGATCGAATCTCTCCTATCTGAGACGTTGTGGATGCCAACCACAAGACCACAAAATAACTTAAGGGAAAAGAAACTTAAAGAGAAAGAGAAAAGATTTAAAAAAAAACAAAAAACAAAAAAAAAAAGAAAAGACGATCACTCACCATTCCTGGATACATCCAGCTCCACAAGGTTTTCGAAGTTTTGGATATCTGGTGGCAAACGGTGAATTTCATTGTCGCTCAAACCGAGTTTCCGCAACTTCTGTAGCCGAAAAAAATTCTGCAACGAGAGAAGACGCCAATGATGAGCAGTTACGTTTGATAAGAAAATAACAGATGACAATAAAATCGGTTATATCGGTTATGTCGTGCGCGTTCTTCGTCGTTACATTATAGCCGATGGAATGATACGTCACAGGCACAATAGCAAGAGGAAGAGAGAGAGGGGGGGAGGGATAAAAGGAGAAAGAGATAGAACGAGACAAGTGAGAGAGAGGGGGGACGCAAAGAAAGAAAAAGAGATACGGGTTATAAGACAGAAGTTGGCATGTAGCGGTATTTGTCTACCTTCGGTAGATCACGAATGTGATTCGCGTCTAGCAGGAGTTCCTCCAAGCTTCTCGAGTATCGTAAAATATCATCAGGGACGCACGGCAGAGAGCAATGACGCTTGTCAATGTATTCCACCTGCCTGTTACACCCTTTAAAAATCGGAATGCAGCGGAACATGGTATCCTTTTTTTCACTATTAATCACGTTGGAACAGCACCGAACATAATTGTCCCCGTTGTCCACGACGGCACACGATGCTATTTGCACATATTTGTTGAACGGAATCGGATTAAAAGAAATTAGAAGAAAAACGAGCGGCACCGACACACACTTTCACGCCCTACTCGGCTTTAAACGCGCTCTCGGCTTGTGCCTCGAAGTCTGACGTCATCACGTCTACGAACCACTGATCACGTTGCTCTAAAGCGACACACAACAATGAACGAATACGACGCTTTGAAAAGACAGTTCCCCCACTATTCACCAGCCACGAACTTACTGCACGTATAGATGGGAAATCTTAAATAAGAATATTTACTTAGTTATAACTGCTTTGATCGAGTCAACAAATCGTGTCAAGAAGGTAAATAAAACCACGTGGTCAAAATCTAGGGAAAGTTGTTGAAAATTTATCATACAATTATGAGATAGAAAACTATTTTTCGGACATTAATTTTTTTATGTCGGAAAATTAAAAATATCCACTAAATTAAGTAAAAGTATTGTTATTGTAATTAAAGGTATTATGGTTAACCAACTCTGCAACAATAAAGAAGTACGTAATTCTTAAAAATTATAAGTCACTAGTAATTACCAGTGAATAGTTGGTGTATCACGTGATCAGATATATCTGTCTCTCTTAACTTATTTGGACGAAGCATAAATATAAAATTACTTACAATTAAGAAAGTTTTAATTAACGTATAATTAAGTAATGAAATAAAAATAATTGTACGTACAAAAATTACGAGCATTTTCTATTCCAATAGGGATTAATTGTTACGAAAGATGTCACTTTTGCAGCTTTTATAAACCTGGTTTAATGTGGATAATATAATGTAGTGCCATTGGTAGTGCTACATAATGCGTTTTATTTATGCTGTTAATTATATTAATTTCTATTAATATAATTAATTTTGCAATATAGAATACTGGATTTTTATAAATAATCGAAATTGTATTCTTGAAAAAATTACAACACGTATATTATGTAATTAAGTTTTATATGTTAATTTTTCAATTTTTATTCGATAGATAACACGAGTTCTCTTTTATCGACTATTTCTTCAATTTAATTTTCACAATACAGCCACAAGAGTGCATTGACAAATAAAGAAAGATAAATCATATTTCAAATCTGCTTATATGTTAAATTCTTTTTAAATTAAATTTAAAAAATAATAAAATTTAAATGTGAATAAATAATTTGCAGATCTTGTATCAAATGCATAGAGAAATAAATTATTTTCGTAGCTTAATCAATTTTGCATATTCTTTCGTCACATATGTAATTCATTGACAATAAGTGGGATATATGTGTATATATAGCAAAAATTGCATTGTTCGGTGAGTTGCCATTTTTCTACATTTAATCTTACACACCTTGTTTAAATTATTTAACAATTAATTTTATAAAAAATTATTATGGAACATTATTAATTGCATAACATACGATTAAACATTCCAAATTTTTTTCATTTCAGTCTCACAATTCATATTTTTAAATATAGTCATTTCAAAATGAGTACTGCATTAATATCAGAATATTTAGAAACACATCAAGGAAGAGATAAATTTTTGAGAACATTGTCTTATGCAGCTAAGTTTGCTACATTGGGAACATTCTCAAATGAAACAGAAAGAAAATTAAAAATATTTAGTAGCCAAATCAGTGAATGCAGAATGATTCTAAGATTATTAGATGACATACCAACGATTCATCATGCAATGCTATATGGGTGGGGAAAAGAGGTATATATATATATGAAATAAAGTATATTGATAATGTATGAAAATATTTTCTGCAAAATGTGTTTCATTTTCTATATATTAATGTAATGTACAGATTCATACTACTACTCTTCTACAGGCATATGATAAATTTCATATATCATCCAATAGGAGTCAGATTGGGTGATCAGATGTATGGAGTTAATGCAAATTTTGGTGGATATTATATTTGGCCCAGTAGAACACATTTTTTGGGCTGGCAAACATAATTTGATTAAAATCAATATTGAAGCATGGGATAATGCTTCAACGTGGTTTTGGATAATTTCTCTGCAGTTGTCTTTATTAAAGTATGTTACATAAGAAATATAATTAAATATTATATTTACACATCCTCATTACATGTATACGTTTTTTAGGTCTTTACGGAAATTAAAAAAATTCAACAGTTGTAAAACATATCTTAATGAAACTAATTGCAGTAAGAGGTAAATTTAAAAATAAAATATACAGCAAAGTATTTATACTAATTTGATTAATAAAATGTTAAAATATCAATAATTTTTTTAAAGAGTTGTTTTGAAAACAATAACCAAACAAAGGCGGAATGAATCATTAACATGCATAAGATTGATATTAGATATGTGTTATGCAGTTAATTATTTGCCACCTGGTACATTTTGGGGAGGTAAGTTAAAAACTTGGCATGTTGGAGCACTTGGAACTTTGTCTTCATTGATTGGATTGTATCAAGTTTTAAGTCAACGAGCAAAGCAGAAGAGTTTATAATATTAGCAGTAACAATAAGAAAGTGGTGAAAATTGTTACAATTATTAATATAAATATATTTTTTTATTTCTATTAGTTAATTTGTATAAGAAGTATATGTAATAAATATAAAATAAATTATAAGAATTGAAATGAAATTGATCTTTACTGTTTAATCTTTTAATATAATTTAAAGCATAATTTATGTATTTAATTTTATATATTATGAAATAATACAATATTGTTAACATAATAAAGAACAATTTATTGTTTTTAATATATCAATTTTGTGTTACAAGGTATGTTTTAACAAGGATATATGCAATAGGAAAAGAGCTAAAGCAATATAAATTATTGATATTTGAAATGAAGCGTACTTGATTTTAAGCTAATTAATGTACTTATATATGTACGTTTACTATTGATCGAATCATTTTTATATATTACTCGAATGGTATTTGTAAATTACACATATAGATTCTATTATCAATAAAAGTGAAAGAATAGGAGGCACTTTCTGTATGAACATAAATAAAAATATTTTGCTACGTAGGGCACGATGTAATCATTGCCTCGCGAGTGGTTAAATCTCTTAAAAGTGTTAAGAAAACTTGACATTATGCGTACCAGTAGCAGTCTTGTTTCTTTAATAATAGATCACCCTGTATCGCGTGGTTATCAATGATTTAAAAATAATTTGTGTTTTCCACGTTAGAATAAAATCTATGGAGATTATATTAAAAGGCACGACTTATTAAAAGTTTGTAAATAAGATAATATTTTCGATAAAAGAGCATCTTTAAAATTTTTGACGGCTCATTACTTTTTCGCCGTTAATTCGTTAGTGTTTAGTCTAAGAATTTTTATCGTTCGTCAAAACCATTCTTAGGCTTTAGCAAAAACTGATCTTTTGTTTACTAAAAACTTTATGATTACATTTGAAGCTTTTGTAGAATATTATATATATATATAATATATATATATATTATTTTGTATGTTGTATTAAAGCACTTCATAGGAGTATTTTCTTATGTATATAATAACCATGTTGTTTGATAATTGCATTTGATGTAACACGATATATTTTTTGTATTTGTTCCACTTTCTTAAACCAAGCGAAATTTTAATGACTCAGAAATATGATAAATTCAACCTTCTTTTTAATATTTGTTAAGTAATTCAGTACTATAGTATATCCTGCAGTTGATTATATGAATTTTAAATTATATAAATCTTAAATTTATAGTTTTATTTTGTAATATTTAGCATTAGCAACATATACGATCTAATTGTAAAATTAAGAATGTAATATCAATCATAATCACTGTATTATCAAAGATTAACTATGAAATATTTGAATAGTATCGTTTTATACCATATTATAATCTTATTTTTTTAGTATAATTTCAGATTTCAGAAATTTTTTCAAGTTCCAAATTTTGAAGTTTAATTCTTCCTATTTTTACCAATAATTATTCCTGATTCCTTACAATTCTTGTTTTTTTTTAAATAAGAATATATTTTTAACTGTTTGATACAAGGGTCCTCAATTTAAATAAAATATTATAATTTAATTAGCTAGAATAAACAACTAATAAAATTAAATAAATAAATATAAATTAATATAATCTGTTTTACTTTATGATTTTGTTTATACTATCTATCAAATTCTCATAATGTACTAACATTTAGTGTCTAGCAGTTTGCATAAGCACACGTTTTTAAGGCCAGAAATTTAAAAAGGGCTGAAGGTTCATTTGAAGGAATCATTATCTTGAACGATAGAAAAAGAAAAAGGAACAAAATTATGAAAAGAGGAACGACAATAAAAGTCTATCTGCAAAAATATGATTTTTAATTCACTCAACAAAATTATATCAAAACATCAGAAACGCGATTAGAAGTAATATTACGAAATCTTCTTGAAAGAAAATACATAACATAATATTGTAACAAAAAATAAAAACAGAATCAATTTACTACAATCCGCTCCAGAATCGTAGACCATGTACTTCTCCATTTCGTCAACAGTTAAACAGTCCCTGTAAACGAAAGCTCACAAAGGCTTATCACCTTGGCTAAGAATATAAATTATGATTGCAATTGCCATTTTGGCAATACCCCTTACACTGTACAATGTAACATAAAACTACAACGACGGGCGATGTTATCGACAAGTGTCGGTATACAGCCTGGGTTCTGATTAGTACTCAAATTAAATGCGTTCTTCGCAAAAAATAACAATAATTCAATTCTTAATTCTTCCTGCAGCTAGAATACCACAATAATCTAATCTCATCAAATAGTTTACGATTAAGCGTAATATTCTTCGCCGATAGGTTATTATAACGGCGTATTTTTTGTGGATTTTTAAACATTGTGAACTGATTCCTTTTCTTTCTTTCTCTTCTTCTTTAGCAATCGAGTGGCTTCCCATTTTATCGTATAAAAATTATTGTCACTATAAAAGCCACAATTGGACCCACACGAATTCAATGTAAATGCACACTCGTAACGCATAATTATCGTATAATGTGATGTGTTACTTAATGGCACAACTACACTCTTCGCAATAAAATGATCAACAAGAGAACCAGTCCCTAAATAAACATACTAAATAAAAATACTGTTTGTTGAGAACACGGTTATCACCGCGTTCGAAATAGGAACTTTATATGAAACACGATTTTTCGCCATTAATTAGTCTCGGACGTACGTGAGAGTAACGATAATAAACAAATCGTTGCATTTGTGGAGCAGCTGGTATATCCGGTATTTCAATGTATATCGTCAAACCAGCTGTCCGCAGCTCTGCGATAAAAACTAAGTTTGCACCCTGTCAGTAAGTCAGCTAGCGCAACGTCCTCGCAAAAACAAATAGTCCAAAAAAAAAAAAAAAAAAAAAAAAAAAAAAAAAAAAAAAAAAAAAAAAAAAAAAAAAAAAAAATTGAATTGAATGTATGACCATGAAAGAGAAGCTTAGTAACTGTACTTAAATTGTGGGATTATTCATTCCACGGGGCCAGGAATTCACATTTGGCGATAATCCGACCACTTGATTTGTTTTGGAATTGCGCATTAAAGGCTTATGATGCCACATTGATTCCATCGAATGTTGCCATTGCCAGCAACTACGACAAAAGTAGCGGAAGCACATCTGCAAATAAGACAAAAATAATAAAATATCTTTTATGTAAAAAATAAAAGAAATTACTTTCGTACCACTTCACGGCAAAAATAGGGTCCTTGCTGTACAGAACATCCTGAACACATAGAATCTTCTAAGTAGGGATCAACTTGCACCTATTAAAAATAAGATTTTTATTATAATTTTTTTGTTATGTTCTATAAACATTTTAGACTTATGTGAACCTTTTTTGTAAATTTGGCAGTTTTTATTTCTATGAAAGCAGCTGAAATTGCTTTCATGTATGAATGTTTTGTACTAAATGTAACACGGCCAGATCCAATTGGATACTTATGTTTGTCAGTATCAATCCCTGAAATTAAATTTTAATTTTAATAGTACGTATTCAATGATTGAAATATATCCATTTCTACCTGCATAAATAACCCCACGGAACAGATCATCCATAATTTTTGCTAAACCAGTAGCGGTTAGCATGCCATGAAGAGCACCAACAAATACTGTTTTGTGAGGATCAAGTTTTTGCGATGATGATTTTACGTAATTACTGTCTTCAAGAATCCAAGGAATTACTTGTACCTATAATAAAATTACAACAATATTACAATATTATAACTTTATAAAAGAATTTGAGGAAGAAGTACAAACGAATTTGATTAAAAGAAAAGTAATATGTACCTCTTTTGCTTTCATACGTTTAGATGATATTTTGTAATACCAACTACCACCATTGGTAAAATCATGTGTACAACATGTCAATAAAGTTCTCACCTTAAACAATAGATATCCTTTCTCGTTAAAAATGAATAAATTGGGAAAAAAGATACAGTGGAAAATATCGAACTACCTGTTTTTCAGACTCAAATATAATATATACATATCCTTTTGGCTGCGTAGCGGACTGATCTTTTCCTGGCCATTCTACTCGTATTTGACCGAACTGCTTAAAAGTGGCAATTAAAAGGGATTCGGTAATATCCCAAGGTACACCACCAAGGAATACTTTAGATGAATAACCTGATGGTTTCTGATTACGTTGCGGTAATATGCCACTCCAAGTACAAGTTGGGTCACAAAGTGCTGAAACAATAATTTTTTAACATACTGACACAATTTTTTTTTTGTTTCTTGTATTTTAATAAGTGGATGATTACCAGCAGCACTTCGATGAAAACGCGCTACGCGTTCGAGTGAAAGCTGCGGGTCTAAGATGTTTATCGGAGGTGAATTCAGAGCCATCATATGATTTCCAGTGGAGCAACAATTTTTTTCATGCATAAAAGAATTCAGGAAACTGCCGTTTTGATTTGATCCGTAGTGATGACCGCGATTGTGCCCATGTGAATGATGATGATGCGTCGACGATGAATTTTGATGGGGCGAAGATAAATACTTTTTCATTGCCATTCGTTGAAACGCGGTTGCTCTATTATTTGTACATAAATCCACTTCCGGCGACATCAATGAACCCAAAGATTGAGGGCAACATTCGTGTGACGAGTTTAATGATAAACAGTTCTAAAATGAAACAATTTCTGTCTTCCTGAGGTTCATGAATTTAAATAATTACGATCTATAACTTAAAATAGATACCATTATATCGGACAGAGATCCATCTACACTACTTATACCACTCGTATCTGAATCCGCTGGTGAGTTCGATCTTGATCCAGTGCATCCCATCACGTGAGGATATTCAAAAGTGGGACTGCTACAGTCACTGTTGAAAAAAATGACTACTTAACAATCATTTCATTATAATTATACATAATTATAAGAAATTAATTAAAAAATACCTATAAGGTGGTGATCCACGAATAGGTCTCCCGTAATAAGGAGAATGAATGGGTGATGTTGGTGAACCCACATTCTGCATAGATCCTCGACTCTTCGGCGATGATGTTGTCTGATTACTACTGTTTGTAGATGAATACGAGTAAGGGTTTGAGTACAGACTTCCAGGTGTGCTAGGGCTGCCAGGTGTAGTAATAGAACTTGGAGAGCTTGGAACGTCCAAGATGGATGAATTCGAGCAAATTCCGTTCCTATCATCGCTCTACATTCAATACGGTATAACAGCATTAATTAAAAATTTGTGAAACATATTTTAATCAAAAATCATCTTTTAATTAAGCTATGAGAATAATATACTAGTTGTAAACAATAAGAAAAGATTCGCGCTTTAACAAAGGGAATCCTGCAACATCATTATTATTATTAGACTGCGTTAAAAATAATATAACAATATAAAAAAACAAAAACGAGGCACGCAATTACAAGTGAAAAATGAAAAAAGAAAATATAAAGAATGGGCTGTGATAGAGCCGTTTGGCTCAAGCTTGTAAATTCTTGGCTACTCTGGAATCCGGGTCGCACTAACACGAGCGGCTATGCGTAATTTATTTTGCCCAACGCATTATACGTCGGCTCTAATACGCGCATTTCGATGTCCTGCCGGTCCTTTATGTACAAATGCATCCAGTAAATGGTGAAGGTAATAACGTTAAAGGCGTCGAGAAGAGCCTGATAAAATGTCCATTAAAGTGTCTGGTCGATAAGGCACGACTTTCGTATGGGTCTTTCTTGCTCTTTTACCCCTTTCCACCGCGTATAAGTACTATTTAACTGTCGCTGCAATATAGATTGCAATAATTGTGTTATTATTTATGTTATTTTACAAAGAAAATTCGTTATCAATTAATGATCAATATTTTAATAATCATGTTCTTCATAGTCAATAATGATGTTCTCCACTGTAAAAAATTCCTATTATAATATCGCCGTATGTTACAATACTTAGTTTTGGCGTTTTCCAGTTTGCTCCTTGAAAATTTCACAGAATTTTATTTTTATCATCACAGGCTTGATTACATCTCCAATCCATCATCATTAGTTGCGTTATTCTAAATTAATGTTAGAAAAGATTCGTTGCAACAAAATATATTGAAAATCGATACATCAGGTAACCAGAAAATCTCTATTGTGCAAAAAAATTAGCTGCGCAATCGATGAAAAAGGAAGCTCGAGAAGCAGTTGGAGTCATTCCAATGAGGATAATCATTGTTCCGGTTATTGCATTGGCAGGAGGCAGACGTTTCGGAATACTGCCTACTCCAACATTTGGGATTTTCACTATCGTATCTAACATGTGACGTTCACAAATTGAAAGAAAAACATTTTAACGCTTTTCGAATTCCTCGTTTCTTTCGAGTAATTAAAATGTAATCACGGAAGTCATTAAATTGTCGTTTGTATTTAGTGGTCGTATTAAAATCTTTAAACTCAAAGTGAATTTTATTAATACAAATAAGGTAGTTTGAGGCTTTCAGAGAATTTAATAAATAAAATTTAGTAATTCGCAATTTTTATTTTATTGTGCCATATATTATTTAATTTTTGTCGAAAATAAAAAACCTTTTTACATTTATCGGGTATCAATTCGTTACAAAATTACTGGAGAAATAACTGAAGATATGTATAAATAAGCAAATTGCCTGACCTAAATGAGGCTAAAACGTTTCACGTAAAACGATCGGGAAAACCTTATGTATAATATATAAAATAGAAGGAAATGTCACCTGATAATGCTGAGATGCCTGATTGCGCCCTTGATACTGATAATTACGGCAACCGGGAGATGCAGCTGTTGACTGACTGCCTATTAACGATCCCCGAGGTAAACCCAGTCCGAATAAATCCGAAATTGACATGTCTCCTGGTTTGAGGGAAAAATACAAAATACGTTGCTCTTTTAAATAAAATCACAGAAAAATATGATACAGCTCAACGAGGACTATCAATTGACAAACGACAAACGTACACGCTCATTAGTTTTGAAACAACTAAGCAGGCAATTAAAAGAAATTTTATTGTAGCTCGGATGTCCAAGAAAAAGAAAGACAAAAAAAAAATACAATGTAATTCATTAAATAGATATTGAAATTAATAATTCAATCTACGTAAAAGTTTGAAAGTCAGTTCCTATATAATAATTATAAAACGAAAATAAAGTAAGTCTTTTAGTAATTTGCAAAACAAATTATTAAAATATAATCCTTGTTTAATGAAACTAAAAGTTAATGATTTTGTCTTTGTATAATTTATCATCTTTGTTGGCTCAATTTGAAAAGAGATTATCTTATATTTATGTATATAATAAATAAAACGACATTTTTGTATATTCATATTACTTGACCATACTATTTCATATTGTTACTTGATCAACCGTGTCTATCATAACAAAATGGCCAACAGTCAATCTACAAATTTATCCAGAAATCAAAACAAAATAATCATACATGATCATATAAAAATATAACAAAGGAAACGGAATTTTTACCATCGACATTGTTGTTCTTATTGGATTGCGTGCAAGATGCATCGTGCGAGTATCCTTGGAAGTTGGTTGCCGGCGGAGGGTCTAACAGCAAGTTACCGATATACTGCAACTGATGCAGATGTTCTCGTTCGCTGTCGCGATCCCGTTGCTGTTGCAATTTGTCGCGATGCAACTGCTCGCGTTTTTGCAGCTGCACATGGTCCTGGTTGCGTGACGCTTGCATTTGCTGGCCATGCGACGCCTCATTTTTCCAATCAGGCACGTCTGATATTTTCACTCCATCGGCATCACACGATAAATCTAGCTGCAATATCGAGAAAAAAGAAATCAATCGTTAGAATATTTTGAAGTTTGTTTCTGGTTAAATGATCACGCTTGATGTATATATTTGGTATCGCGATAACAATGTTACGAAGCGATAATATAGAAACATTGTCACCATTTTTTCATTTTGAGAAGCACTGATCGAATTATTATTCGATTTATTTTCTCTTTCGTCGAATGAAGAAGTAATTGCAAACGGATACATCATTAATTTTTAGAATCCGTAATTAACTATAAAGCGTGTATGTAAATAGACGCTACAGGAAGTTGAACTCTGTATGTAATGTTTGGATCGCGGGACTACGTAAATTATATTTACATTTTAATGTTAAGAGAACATCGTAAAAATTTATTCTACTATTCCCAATTAATTCGTAGATCTTTTTTAATTACATGCTTCTGATTAACGGCTATTCGAATTGATCGCATCGTTCGTTACGTCAACCGATTTTCCTTGCGTCATTTCCGGTAAAAGTGACGAAATTTTAGAACTTGCAGTATTCCTCGAAAGATACACTACACGGAGAATTTGAAAATGATTGCTAAAAACGTTTCGTTCGTATGTAAAGATCGTGAAATTTAATACGTATCACCTACCATGGAATTCCTCGAAGTCATCGCTACGAACGATAACAGCAAACTATGCTCTGAGCTTTCGGTACAGAATAACGAAAACAGGAGCCTGAAGGACGCCACTCCCAGTTTGCGTTCGAGGAATTCGGAAAAAAAAATTTTGCAGGGCTAAGGAATATATCCAGGCATTCTAGAAGTTCAACAAGAATCCCAAACTTCGTAGAATTTAACTTTGTCAAGTTCAAAGACGTACTAGATCTAAGGTCGCTTATAATTGACACGAATATTATCATTTTGTCTTATATCATTTAAAATTGTAACATGTACATCCTTATGATTTTATAACTTTTTGATTCATCGAATCACTCAGGGATCGATAGTTCTTATTAAAGTCGTCAAATATACATCTAAAGATATTGTATATATACATATAATGTGTGTACATACATATACATATATACGTATATATTAACAGAAAAGTAAAATCTATATTTCTTAAGAAAGATTCAAATTATGAGTTGAAAGACGAAATTAAAATATTATAAGAACGTTATATAAGAATAGAAATATATGTACATGTTTATAATTTTATGTAAAAATCATATTTTCATCTAGTCTAGTAAATTCATGGTTTACTAATGCAATTATTTGAAACATATGTATGTACATTTCATCTTAATACATCTTACACTATGTTTGCAAAAGGTATTGTACATCTACGTAGGATTTCAGGATATTAGATAATTTTTGGGAGAAATTAACTTGTAATAAATTTTTCATTATTTTCTTCAATAACTGCAATAACTAACGAAGGGTTAAAGACGTAATACACACATATATTTACATATATAGAGAGAGAAAGAGAAAGAAAATCAGCGTATGAAACGCAACGTGTTTTGCACGTGGACGCGTTACGGCTCAACGTACGATTCGCGTGTTTGTTTACAAGTGAGGACGCAGGACATTTCGTATTCAGTTCTACATTCTATGTAGCTTCTACGTTACAATTATCACCATATACTAGCTCATGATTTATAAGACAAATTTTCTTTTCGAAGCGACACCATATCCATAACGAAATTATAAAGTAGGTTACCAATCGACCGCATGAGTAGTCAAAAAATAAAGTACATAGAAAAGTAAGGTATAATTAAAACAGCAATATGAAAATGTAGGAAAATAAATATAAAACAATAAAAGAAAAGAACACAGAATTTTTCTGGAGAAATATAACAACTTACCAATTGCATTAACGTAAGCATGTTGATCTTTGATTGAGCCTCGATGAATTTTTCAATTGTTCGCTGTTCTCCACTGAATTTAAAGTGGTAACTCGTAACGTGGTTCAACGAATTATGCGTACTTAATATCGTATGAATTTTTCCAATAAGATTTGCTCGATTTAAGTAAGAGCGAACTATTAAATATACGTATTTTAATAAATCATTGAATCAACAATTATCGTATTACAATAAAAAATTTGGAATATTTTAATCCCGCCGGGTTTTTTTAATTATTTGCCGGGGGATAATATTTTAATTATTTCAACTCCCAGAATCGCCCATTTATAATTAATTTGTTGGTTCTTTGAAAGTAAAATTTCTTTCTTTCTTAGGTTTGATTTAGTGACGATACAGAAACGACGATGGAGACGGAACGCCCATTCTTCTCCACATTGCTCCACTCTGCAAACTGAATTGAAGATCTCTGTTCCTCCCTTTCCCCCTTACACTCGCTGGTTCCATCCTTGGAAACCACCGGCGCAGTTCGCGAATGCGCCCTTCGTGAAATTTCGTCTATGCAATGAGAGAAAATTTTATTACTTAACATGTAATATTTCAAATCAAAATTTGATATCTTGCTAAATGATATATTAAATAAAGGAAAATTTTTGAAAAAAAAAGATTTATGGTTAGCGATAGAATATTAAATGTTCTCGACAAAAACTATTACAATTACAAATTTTTTAAAAATTATCATTATATATATGACTTTTGTTTAAAATAATACAAGTTATGTAAGTAAATATTAATTATTTAAACATATATGTATTGAATACAATAAATAATAAAGGAAAATTGTTTGAATATGAAAGGAATATTTGAAACAATACAACTGTTTTACTATATATATATATAATTTTATTTATTATATAAAAGATTTGTGCATTTTATTCTATATGAGCAGTCGATGAATCCAACATTTCAACTTCGGAACTAATATCATTGGAATAATTTACAACCATGTCTCGGGAACTGCGTTCCACTTTATCAGAAGTATTATCCTCAGCTTTACTGGAATCTTCTCCCCATCCAGAAAATAAATTTACTCTTAATTTATCAATATCTTGACTTCCTGCTCCAGCTATATTATTTGCATTTTCTACAGGTTCTGCATTATCTGTCTCTTGATGTTCATTTGCAGCATATTCATATTTTGGAATATCAGCTGGTGCACCTAAAAAGTATATTTATAGTCAATTAATATATGTATATTATAGTCAATATAAAATTAAATTTATATATATATATATATATACATATATACCAGGATATGGAGGTGATTCTTCTATAAGTTGTTCCATAACATAAGTTAACATAGTTGTTGTGAAAGTATCATCTCTTCTAAGTCCAAGTGCTCGATGAAAAGCATCAACAGCTTCTTGTGTATTTCCCATTAATGCATGAATGAAACCTACTGCTGCATAAGTTGACGCATTTAATGGATTTAACATTAATGCCTGCAATTATTAGAGAATTAGGGAATTTATATAATGGTTCATAAAAACTATTTTTATTTGAATTCAATTTCTTAACCTGTTGATGATATTCCAGCGCCTCTTCATATTTCTTCATTTTTCTACAAGTATGACCTAAATTATTTAGAAGTGCCTCCCATTTACTAGGTAGAATAACATCCTTTAGTCCGCCTTGAATTCTTCTCATGGCTTCTTTAAACTGCCGTTCAGCAGTTTTGTAACTGTATTCGATGAAACGACAACTGATAAATTAGGCAGATTTCCAAAAACCAGAGAAGAGTGGAAGTACACTAATCACGTTGAATGAATTTTGAACATATTTTTTGCATATTTCATATTAAAAATAAATGTCACAGTACTTACTCTAAATTATAAAAAGATATAACTCCCATTTCATGTATAACAAATGGATCATTCGGAGCTATTCCTTGAGCCTGTTGGAAAAACTTGTCAGCCAATTTAAGATTATTTGTTAAACCGCATTCAAGTCCAATGTATAAAAGTGGCAGGTGACAACCTTTCATTAATTGAGAAGCCTTAAAATAAGCAGCCATTGCTTGATCATGTTCATTTTCTACTGCAAAGGAATGACCATAAGCTAACCAAGCTGGACCAAATAATCTATCCAATGCTGTGGCTTTTGCTAAATATCTTCGAGCTGGATCACTTTTTCCTGTTATCAAAACAATACAATATATCTTATAAGAATACAAATTATTTTAAAATTATGAAATAAAAATGATAATTACCTAGACTATAATAATAACATCCAACTGCAAACCATGCTAAGGCCATGTCTGGATATAAATCAACTAATTTATGGGCTAAATAAAATAAAGCTGAAAAATGATTATATAATGTATAAAGTTTGTTTTTAATTGTGTATTATATTTTTATATGAAAACACACATACTTACCATTAGTCTTTTTCAGTTCTACTAAACAAGCAATATGTACTGGTAAGCATGAATTATGATATGGATCCTTTTTTAATATTCTAAAACATACAATAGAAATTATAAGATTATATAAATTTATACTATATACATAAAAACATGTATTACCTTTCTGTAAGGGAGAAACATTTATGATAATCACAATTATAATACAATCTCTCCGCTTCTGTAACTTCCATATCCAAATTACCTAATAATCTGTCTGTGACAAGAACTCCCATAACACTACATGTTGCAAGTGGTTGCTTTGTGTTTGGCTCCTGATATTTTTTCAATTTACTTTCATACAATAGTTGTAAAAGCTCTGCTTCAGCTTCTGTGCATTGTTCACCAAAAGGAAGAGATTCCAGAAGTTCCTTTTCTATTCAAATTATATGTATTATAATTATTTTCATTTTTATATAAAGTTTATGCCAATACATTTCAATACTACCTTCAGCAGCTGACAGCATTTGGTTATGAACCAATGCCTCAAATGCCTGATATGAATACACATCACAATGTAAAGCTTGTTTATAACAATCAGTTGCTACTGCTCTATTGTCTAAAGCTTCGTATATTCTTCCCTTTACATACAATATTGAACTTTGTACCTATTATAAAATACATACCAATTTATAAAATAATATTCTATCAAATAATAGAAATAATATTTAGAAGAAATTATAAGCATTATTTATACTTAATCACATTTTTTGGTGCGTCTTCTAATACATCTGCTCCAAAACCTGACTGTGTTATATTTGTACATACTTCTGATTCTTTAATAATTTGTAATGCTTCATTATATTCTTTTGCTTCTAATAAACTTCTTACTGTTAAATAGTGACACAGTATGTCTGTCTATAAAATAGTATCAGATTAATATAAGTAGATTACTATCAACATTTAGTATATTATTATCAATATTTACATTTATTTACAAATACATTATAATATTATAATCAAAACTTTATAATCAAAGTTTAAGTAATCATTATAATCAAAAGTTTTACAAATCAAGTTTACCTTTTCTAGTCCACGACTTCTGATCACATGAGCAGCCCTATGATATTGTTTCATTAAATACATACAATGTGCTAAGGTGCATACATCTTTAGGATCTTCGTTACTTAATGAAACAACTTTATCTGCCCAAAATAAAGCAGCACTATAAAGATGCTGTAAATAAACCAATAATCGTAAATAAATCAGTATTTTCTAATAGCTTACAATAAATCAAAGTCTTTAAAAAAAAACTTGATGAATTTTAGAATTTTACCAAATCGATGTACGATTTAATTAATTTTCTACAATTATCTAAGTCAATGTTCTTATTGTCTGACAAATTATTCATTTTTTCGCAATCTGCATCAACACTTTGACGCGCCATATTTAATTTAAATTTTGAAGGTTACGTATTCCCTTCTTAACAAATCAACGTTTGTATACACCAAGATACTTGTTGTTGTATGGTACCGTAAACTATGTACTTTTTTTACACATAAAAATTATCAAATTTTATTCCAAATTTGCCAAATTTAGATTTCATTGAACATCAAGTAGTCACATAATGTTGATTTGACGCAGACAGCGCGTATTTTTAAATCGTACGGTACAACGCAACAACAACAACAACAACACGCACGTTGTAAACATCGATCATTTTCTGCGTAACTACGGTCACCTACGGTTCTTGACAATTATTAGTCAAAACGCGTAGAGTGATTGGACAAGAACGTAGCACGTGGCGCTGCGCAACGAAATATGTACATATCATCGTGCTTCAAAAATTTCCCGCACGAGTTGGCGCTATAGATTGCGATCAAAAATTTCGTACATTATTCCTTCGCTAGAGAAATTACGAACCGGGGGACTAGAGAGTTAGAAGATGGCAAGAAACGAATGAATCGCGTGCTAATGCAAACGAAGGTAATCGTGCATAATTCGTGACGTCCGTGCAACTCTCGGTATTGTCGGCGTCTTCGGAATTTCGGTGACGACGTATTATTAACATTAATGATAATGTGAGAAGCCAGAGCAAAGCAGAAAGGGGGGTAAGAGTTCGGCAAACGGAACAGCCAAAAACTCTTGCAAGGCGATGTCAAACATGCGGCGACGAATTTCGCAGGGAAGTCTACCAGATCGACGGCGTATTTCGGCTAAGATTTGTCAGTGAAACTAGTGCCAATGAGTGTGAATATATGGCGGCGCGAGTACTTTTACTGAGCATCTTGTTTACAGAAGTGCTAAAGCCCGCTTGTGCCGCAGGTGCGTCTCCCTCCTCTTCTCCATTCTAATCTGTTTATATTCGCCAAACTGATACACGCTGGACCACGCGTCTAACGTTCGTTCGTTCACATACACAACTTATCAATAGTTATAATCTTGATATCTTTTTCTTTTTTTCACGGACTGTGTATTATTTGATTGAAATAAGAACTCAAACTCAAAATTTAAATATTTCTTCGAATACATTTTGAGAGGAATAATCGTGTCTTCTGATGATTGTTTATATCACTATGACATGCGTGGAAATAAATTGTCAAGCAAGTAGTTAAATATGTTTGTACATTCGATTGGGAAAAAAGTGATTGAATTATGATAAATTTATTTTGATCATTTAAAATTTAACAGGTACATATCTATATATGGTTTCAGTAAAGAAATGGGATATTTGTCTTTTTCTTTTGTTCTTAATTATATAAATCGAGTCATAAATATGATTTAACAAACTTAAATTAATGTAGAAATGATTTTATAATCGTTAGAGACTATTCTTTAAATCATTTAT